CAAGGTGACAGTGTCACCTATACCCCTCGTGACTGTGGGACAAGGTGACAGCATCACCTACACCCCTCATATGTGGGACAAGGTGACAGCATCACTTACACCCCTCATGACTGTGTGACACGGTGACAGTGTCACCTACACCCCTCTGGCACAGAGGAATAATCATCGCCTTGGAAGCCCGGCCGAGCCTCCCATTTCGGAGAGGTGACAGTGCGCGTGGGGGGCTCACGCTGTTCGGCACGTTGTAAGCTGTCCACACAGATGACTGGGGGCGTCCTCACACAGCACGACCCGGAAGGCTCTGACCACCCCCTCTCACAGCTGAGGAAGGGACCCCCCCGGCCAGGCAGAGCGTGTGGGACCCCAGGACTGGGCCTGGCCGTCGGACCGCAGGATGGGCCAGCTGTCCTGTCCCCCACCGGGCAAAGCAGGGACCAGGGAGTGGTGGGAGCTGTACCAGGATAGACTGGATCTCGTCCTTGTCGCATCTCACGTGGTACAGAACCATGTCCTGGGCGATGTCCTTGCGGTTCTCCAGCTTGTTCATCTTGTCGTAGGTGTCCGTGTTCAGCACTGACCAGCCCAGGAACTGCGTAAGGGACTGCAGAGGGGGCCAGCATCACCCACCCCGATGGGCACCTCCTGTGTGCCAGGCCCTATGTCCCGGTGTGCGGGTCCCCAGGCGTGCCACTCCAGGGCAGCGAGTGCTTCTAACGGGGTCTCCAGGGTGCCCCCCAGGGAGCTCCCCACTTCCAGGAATGGGACCTCACAGCTCTTCCTCATCCCTACTCTCCTCGGGCCTGCTGCTGGGTCCAGGGGCTATAGCAGATGGTAGGGAGGGACGTTGCATTGCCAGGTCCTGTGCATCACACAGGTGTCACCTTGAGCCGCACCTGTGACAGGTGTTTACCTCCATGAGGACTTCGTCCTGCTCATCAAAGGGCTTCCCGTCTTTCCTGTTGTAAAACGTTGCAACCCCCACAATCTCCTCCTTTTTGTTGACGATGGGCATGGAGAGGACATTCTTGATGATCCACCCCGAGTCGTCCAGAGGCCCTTCCTTCAGAGAGAGGTATCCAGAGATGACTGCTGCTCTGGGTCTGGCCCTGGCCTGGGCTTGTCTCCCAGCGAGCGTGAACCTCATTTCTTCTGCCCTCACACCATGGTGACTGGGTCATTGTTCCCATCTGTGCACTCCTCCCGCATGAGAACTTCACGGCTGGGGCTTTGTCGTGACTTCTCCGACCAGAGGAGGCGGAGGGTGTTTTCCCAGCAGGGCAGCTTCACCGTGTGAGTGTGAGGGTCATGCAGGGCCCCACGCTGACTGAACACTCTGCTGCTGGGCTCTTAAAGGTCTTAGTGACTGTTGAACAAGGGGCCTTGTGCTCCCATTCCACAGGGCCCCCAAATCATGCAGCTGGTCCTCTCTCCCATCCCACCAGTGCCTGGCCAGTGGAATATGGACACTGGCCAGTTCCTGGAGGATGCCTTTAGAAACAAAGTCCATTTCCACTGGTCCACTTGACCCTCGGCCTCCTCCAGAAAAGAGCCTGCCCTGGCCCTGTGTCCCCTTGAGGACATGAGGAGCAGACTAAACCCTCGCTGGGGCCTAGCACGCCCAGCGAGCCCATGGGCCTGAGCGTGCGAGCTGTGTGTCTGTTGTTAGCCACTGAGATTTTGAGGCTGTTTCTTAAGCAGCAAAGGTGAATTCAGCCCATCATTTCTGAACCACAGCATCTTCCTTCCTAAATACAGTACTCTCTATTAATGAGGGGACAGATACCTGAAATTTGAACATTTCATCAGCGGGAGCATTCATGATGTTACAGATCTGAAAAAGGATCAGAAAAACAGCTTCACCTGAAGCAGCTGAATGTAAAGTCAACAAGACTGTCCCACCCAATGGGCCTCTAAATGGCAAAGGGGAGCAGCTGGGCGCTGGTGGTGGTGCATAGGCTGGCGGGAAGGGCTGGGCACGAGGGATGGAGGCTGGGGCCACGGGGGACTCACAAAGCCACTTTCTGCCACGTAGGTCGGAAGGCCACTGGCCAGGGCCCAGTGATCGGCCGGGGGTGTGCTGGGGAGAGAAGCAGAGGGTCAGGCGGCGCAGATGCTCGGGTGGGTGGGTGTGTGCATGCAGATTGGCATGGTGTGTGTCAACGTTTATTTCCTGCTCCGAGTCCAGGTGGGACAGGGATTATGGAGGTGGTGGGGTGGGGTGGGGGAAGGCAGTGGGTCGTGGCAAAACAGTGAGGACTAGGGAGGGTGGGAGGAGGCCAGGGGCTGAGTTTTGGGGGCACCTGACCTGCCTCATTCCTCTTCCTCTGCCCATGCTGTGGCCCCACGTCCTGGAGGAGCCCCCTTTCCCTACTGGGAGCCACAAGCTCCATCCCAGCCTCTGGAGCTCAGCGCTGGTCACCTGCCCTGTGGGCCTGGCCCTGACCTACGTCCAGGCCTAGCCCCTGGATCCCAGTCCCTTGTGGGACCTGTAGGTGGGGTCCTGACATGAGATCATGGGGTCACATGGCCATGAGGCCCTAGGGCTGGGAGTGGCCAGCTGCCTTTCCCGGTCTCTCTAGGTTGGAGTCCTGCCCTGTCCTCCACTTGGCTGTGCTGCCCTCTGGGTTGGCTGTGCCCTCCTGTCCCGCCCCACTGGGTGTGCAATGTTGGGCCCCCCTTCCAGGGGCTCCACCTTCCTCGGCTGGCTGGATGAGCCAAGATGGGACCCCAAGGGCCTCAAAGTTCAATTGCTGCTGACAGGGCCACCTGGACAACTCACTTAATCCCCTGGACGTCCACTCCGGGTGTCCATGCTGCCTCAGGCTGTCACCTCCCTCCTCACCCGCCAACTCCTTTCCTCCCAGATCAGTGAGTCAGCCTCCCTCCCCATCCCATTCTGCCGTGACCCACCGTGCAGGGAGGACCATGGCACGAGGAGCTGTGCTGGGCGCCACCAACTGCACTGTGACAAGTCCCCAGAGCCGACTCTGCTTGGGTCTGGGGGTGGTCCCTGCCTTAAGTGACACTTCTCGTAAAACCCTGGCACTTACGGGATGACCTTGATGTCTTCCTTGCCGTGGAGGATGTAGTCAATGACTTTGTAGAAGAGGATTTCCTGAGAAACGGACCACAGCAGTCGTGAGGGGAGCCTCCCTGGGAGGTGCCCTGCCCTGGACACACACGTACACGTGCACACACACACACCACACACATGTGCACACACCACATCGCCCTCAGAGTTACACACAGCCACAGACGCGCACACCCGTACACACAGGCAGACCCTCACCGACACTCGGGGGACACACATCACTCACTCTGGTTCACATGTCTTCCCTCTCATCTGTGTCCTCATTACATTTGTGTCCCACTCCAGCCCACACACAAACGGGGCCCCACACTCCTTCACACACATGCACACTGCCCACGCAGGCCTGTACAGCTGTGACACACTCACTCGTGGAACTATGGCAAGGTGTGGTCACAACTCACCCTTGTGCAAGGACTCTTCCACACACTTGGCACACAGTGCCCACTGAATCCTCACAATGCCCTGCGACGAGGGCCCTGCTACGACCCCCATTTGACACGTGGGGAGACTGAGGCATGGCCAGGCTGTGCAGCATGCCCCAGGCTGCATGCACGATCAGTGGCAGGAGTATCTGCCTGTGCTCTTACCCTCTGTCCACACTGCCTCTCTCATGCACACACTGTGTGCACACGTGCACGCACACATACAAGTGGCTCCACTCAGGGAGATGTTACAATGATGTAAGGACGGGGCAGCTGGAGGATCGGCCAATCAGAACAGATGCTGGTCATTACAGCCAGGCTGACCACCTCATCAGGAGAGCAGCACAGGCCCCCTGGCCCCAGGGCAAGGCAGGGCTGGAGTCAGGAGGAGGTGGCAGACAGGCATGTGGGGGCCTGCCCTCAGGAGCAGTCAGACAGACGGCCCACAGCTGTCTGTCTTGCCTCCCCACACCATTCCTCTCGCCCTCCCTCTCCCACCCTGGGTCGGGCTGGGATAGGCCCCTTCCCATCCTTGAGTTGGAGCCAGGGAAACTGAAGTGTGTGGGCTGGGCTTGTCCGCCGCCAACATGACTCACACGGCCATCGGGCGTGCGTGGGCCTGAGTAGGGCTGGGCTTCTCCCATTAGCACAGGCCACACGTCGAAGAATTCCTGGGCAGAGAAGAGAAGGGAGCAAGGTAGGGAGTCAGTGCTGAAGTGGGACGAGGCTGGCCAGGGGGCCCGTGGGGAGCTGAGGCCTCACCTTCTCCTTGGTCATGTCCAGGAGGCCCACCGAGTATCGGTCGCAGTTCAGATAGGCCCGCACGGTGTAGAGAGCCTTGTGGAACTGCCTCTCGATGTCTGTCAGCTCCTCAAACACTTTGTTGGCTGACCACAGCAGCACCTGGGGGGTCACACCTGTGGGCCCATGGCCACACGCGCACACACACACACACACACCTGTGTGACCACAGAAGCACGTGGGTGTGAACTGTCACACCTGATACTCACACATGCACACATGCATCTGACCACGGAACCCCACAGGGCCACTGATGGATGGTGTCTCCCAACAGTGTCTTGAAACAGTGCTGTCACCCAGGGTTTCATCCCAGCACAGGACTACCAGCTCCCAGACCCAGGGACCCTGGAAACAACCTTCTGGGAAGTAAGGCCTCCAGATTTTGTCACATCCCTGCCACTCACTGCCTGGAGCTGGCCTCACGTTGAGCTAGTGGGTGAATGAGCGTGTGGAAATTAGTAACAGAAACCCCAACTAAACTAGATGGGGAAGGCCTGCAGGGGGAGCTCTCACACCCCATGGCACATCATCAATTACACCAATCAGGAAGTACAACCGCTTCACTACTGAAGGAAGATTTCTCTCCCCTCGGGCAACAGTCTGGGTCAATGAGAAACGCCCCAACCCAGCCAATGAGAAATGCCCCAGCCCAGCCAATGAGAAACGCCCCAGCCCAGCTAATGAGAAATACCAGAGCTCAGCCAATGTGAAACACCCCAGCCTAGCCAATGAGACACGCCCCAGCCATGACAATGAGAAACACTGTAGTTCAGCCAATGAGAAATGCTGCAGCCCAGCTAATGAGAAATGCTACAGCTCTGCCAATGAGGAACTGTTCCCTCACTGAACTGTCGCTCTCCCGTGATGGACTTTCCTTTAGAACAGCCCCTCCCTCTTCCCCTTTTCTCTATAAAAGCAGCTCCCTCCGTGTTCTCTGAGTTTGCCTGTGGTTTGCCAGAGCACGCACATCCTAAAGTACAATTCTTTTGGCTATTCCTGAATAAACTCATTTTGAGATAAAATAAGAGGCAAATTTGCTTTTTAAGTTGGCAAGTGAATGAATGAAAATGGAAATCAGTTGCCACAAACTTGAAAGGCAAAGTTCTGACCAGCCAGCCCTCCATAATCAGCCTGTGAGAAGTAGGGTCTGAGGATAGGAATTCCTTGTTTTCTGGATGTCAGGTCCTTTTGTGGTCTCAGAAAAGCTAGGTGACAATTCATTGACACTCCGTGAGGCCCTGGCCAGATGCTGCCTAGGGCATTGACCCCCAACCAGCCCCAGGCTGCTGTCCAGGGCTTCCGGCCAGGCTCAGACTAACTCGGCAGGGCTCTCCTCCCCACTTGCCTGGGCCGCGATCCTCAGTTTCTGCAGCCACTGCGCAGAGGCAGGTCCCTCCAGGCCCCATGCTCTGTCTCTGGCCTGTAATGAGCACCGCCCCATGTGAGCCCTCTCCTCCTCCTGATCCTTCCTCTCATGGCCTCCTTCCTGCCTGCCCCACTCACCCTCTGCCGCCCCCCACCTTTTGCTGTCACAGGCAGGGAAGGTCCTGGAGACTCCACCTGCCCTGGAGTCCTCCCACCATGAGGCAGCCCAGCACCCACCTCTCTCCACCGCTGGGTGAGGCTTTCCCGGTGGCCTGGCCCTGTCCCCTCTCTGCCTATCTCTCTCCGTCGTGGCACTCCCATGTGCCCTCAGCACTCACTGACTGACTACAGGGCCTTTGCACAGGCTCTGTCCTCTGCCTTCACAGCCATCGTCCCAGGGCTTTCTCCTCCTTGAGTCTCAACCTAAAGTCATCTCCGGAGGGCCCCCCTGAGCACCTGCCAAACCAGATCTGCAGCACCTCATTTTCTTCCCGATCTCACAGATGAACAGTCTCATTGTTTCCCCACTTGACCACAAGATCTGTGAGGTCAGGAGGTGCAGCTTCTTCATGACCAGAGCAGCACTGCGCACCCGAGTGCTCAGTGTGCGTTTGTTGAATGCATGGAAGATGAGATTTGCAGCTGTGAGGCAGACTGAACAATGGGTCCTGTGGCCAGCTGCCACAGGAAGTCTGCACATGCATGTCAGGGGAGGGTGGGACTCCATGGTCACCCACACCCACTGCACCGCGTCTCCTTCATCCGTCAGCTGGTGGCTAAGCATCTCAGTCCCCAGCTGCTAATGGCCTGGAAATGAAAGTGCCCAGTACAGAACTCTCGACCCTTTCTCCTGTGCACAGTGAGTAAGGATGCTGATCCGCCTCTCCCCAGCTCTGTGACCTCAGGACACTCGGCTGACTGGCAGACCTTCATGTCCCCACCTGTAAAATGGGATAATGATATTCTGCCCTCAGGATACTGGAAAGATTAAAAGTGTCAAGCTCTCAGAAGAGTGCCTGGCTCTCGGGATCCCCATGTGTGAGTGTGAGTGTGTCTGTGTGTGTGTGTGTACATGCATGTGCATCTGGGCGTGAGTGTGTTAACCACCTGTGCGTCTATCCCACAGATACTCACTGAGCTCTCCCTGTGTACAAAGCCCTAGTTAGGACCAGAACCCACATCAGAGATGTCAGAGTTGGGGGATTCAGGGTGGGGGGAAGCCAGGCACTTAGAGATGTCAGGGACAGCTGTCCCTAGTCCTGCTGGAGCTTGGCGGGGTGTGCGTGTGTGTGTGTGTGTGTGTGTGTGTGTCTGGGCTGTACATTTAAGTTTTGAGCCATCTGAGTACTTTGGTTCCCAAAGCCTGCCCCCCAGGAGGGCGATAGAGTGAGGAGGAAAAGGGTTTAGGCTTCACAGCACAGTGTCTAGGCAAGAACTTCCTCCATTCTCCACCCTGTCCCCTCTGTCTCCATCCCCAGCAGAGCATCTCCTGTCACCCCCTGGCTCTCCCATGCCCCAGTCATACCAGAGACCAATCACCATGTGCTGGACACTGCTCTGAGGCAGGTTCTATTATGGCCCGAAGG